CCGGTTTTAACTTTTTCATCGAAATTGCATTTCCATATGCTGCGGAACCCACGCACCCGCACTTCAGGGTTTTCTTGATTGGGATAGACGTTTCGGATGTAATGCTCGATTCGTTTTGTTTCTTCCCGCAACTCTCCAAACGTTTTCATTCTTACTGTATTCATGCGATTAGGATTCGGAAAACACTTACGACAGCCATGCCAGAAACACCCGTAAAATTGCCAGACATCGCCAAACTCGTCAAATCCGTCCACGGGGTATGGTCCAATGTAAAGCTCCCCCTCTAGTTTCCGGGCATGTTGTACCTCCGTTCCTGTGCTATTCTCGAACCATGTCATCCATTGAACTGCCTTATCGCTCTGATTATGAGCCCTACCATAGCCGTTAGCTGGAAGTATGCCAATTGTCTCAGGCTGCAGGTAGTGTACCTGAAAGGCTTTCATAACGGCAGACGGGTTCGTGGGTTCATCAAAAGGATCCAATCCAGGGAACAGATTGGTAAACGATGCTCGTGTAATCTTGGCACACTCACGTAGAACTAGAACATCGTTCACGCAGTACTTCTCGCACTCGTCCATAAGATTGTAGTTATTGCCAAAGGAGGACACGGCATTTGCGTACCACTGCTCAAACTCTTTTACTTTCGATGCAGACATTCTTTCAGTGTTGAAAAATTCTTTTGCTGAAATTTCGAAAAGTCCTGGTAAGCGCACTGCGACTCAAGCATGCGGATAAGTTACAGAGCAAATTCGAAATTTTCGTACCTGGTACTGCTCCAACGTAGTTTTCGTTTTCCGGTGCGTTAAACAGATACGGAAAAAATCCTTTAAGAACGAGATGACTAATCCCGAGATCTTTTGGAAGCTCTGCAAGACTTCTCGGCATGAATGACAGCGTATCGACGAATCTGGCATTTACTCCGGGAACCGTGATGAGGGTAAGACTGGCTCCATCCTGAATTTTCCGAGCGTAATGTCCCTGTCCTTCAAGAGCGCGAAGGATGAAATAGTTGTCATATCGTCGACCGTTGTGTGAGAGAAATGTGCACTCCTTTGTGTGCTTGAAGATCCATTCAAGCAAGTCATCGGCGCAAGAAGTGCCACGGAACGTCAAACTGAAATTATCGTCATCCAAACACATGAGCGCTGCCATATTTGGATAATGATATCGTGAAGAATCCAAGCCAGCTTCAAAGTCAAAAACGAACTTCTTGCTGACGTATTTCTGAATCGCAGCCTTGGTGATGTTCTGCTCTGTTCGTTCCACGTCATCTGAACTAGGTTCACTGTCTGGTGCGCTGAGAACAGATTCGGCATCAAAGTATTCAAAGTCATCTGATTCGGCCAGTGTCTGATCATCCTCCAATGTTATGGTTTCACTATCATCACCATCATCGACATCGTCGACATCTACCAGTATGCTCTTCGAACGTTGAGATTTTTTCACCTTAGTCTTTTTTGCCTTCTCGCCACACAAAATATAGCACAAGTGATTCCGCTCTACCATTTCTTTGCAATTTTTGCACTGAGTTGCATAGCACTGATGCGGTCCGCTCTGCAAGCGATTCGGTGGGTTAACAAACAGTCCACACTCCGAACATCTTTTCCAAACTTCGCATATCGTTTTGCCTTTTGTGAGATAACTTTTGTTCGCCTTGTGGTTGTCGAAGCATTTTTTAGAATAAAATGTTCTGTTGCAGTCTTTGCAAAGGAAGTCTTCGCGAGGCCAGTCGTATCGTCCGCGCCCGTAACACTTAATACCGCTACACAGATTACAGAACCCAAAACATTTGTGTTGTCGTTTGCTTCTGTAGAATACTCCGCATGTTTCACATCTGCCTTCGAATCCCATCAGCGCATGAGGTTTCACGACGGCATCGAAGTGCTTGTTGTGGTAGATTAGAGTCACGAGGTGTTTACACTCCGGAGAATCGTAGGTTTCGGAAAACTGGCATTCCGCGTCGATAACACGTAGTTGACAGTCGTACCGCTCACGTAAGAGTTCCGAAAACTTGTCCAGCTCCGGCAATCCGCAAGGTTTCGGGAAAACCTTAGCTTGCCAACGCAAGTTTTGAGCAAGCTCATGCTGTGGCTTCTTGCTAGAATCCCGGATTTTCTTATAGTTGGGAAGCTCCAGTACATTAGCAAGTACGATTGCTATAGCTCTAGAGCAGCATAGGACATTATCTGGGTCATACTTAGCATTTGGGCGAATAACCACAACGCTCTTACGATGCTCAAGATACTCCGAGAGTTTGAAAGCCAGCCGATTCTTTTTTATGGAACGATTGCTTCCGGCTCCTGTGATGTTATGAACCACTAGAAACGTGCACCGAAAAGATTCCGAGAACGTGAATTCGGTATTCCCACTACGGTTGGCTCGTTCGATTAAGTCAAGAACCGTCTTGGCGCTTAGGTGGTCAGCTTTCATGGTTCCCGTAGACACGGCGCCTCGTGTGAGCGAATCATGTTGAAGAATTACACGAACAGCGTCACCGGGTTCGACTGAGTGGTAATTGTAAAGATAGCTTAAGAGATGTTCAAACATGAAGTACAGCCGGTACATAGAACCTTCAGCATCAGTGGGGTCTATATGATCATGACGAAATATGGTGAAGCTGTCCTCGACAGTGTGAAAGCGCGCTGATGGTGTGATCTGACGAGTCTCTGGCTTTATTGAATATGCCGGGCTACAATTACACAAGTACACTTACGTTTTTCGAATATGATTGGTAAAGCGTAAAAAACCAAAAAAAAAAAAAAAAGCGTAAAAAACCAGAATCGCAAAAACAGTACCGTGGAACAGTTACCATGCAAAATCGAAATTCACGGAAGGCTGATATTCATTAAGATTTCAACACAGAATAACAGGTAACAGTAATGTGAAGGACTAATTGCAAAATTCAGCTTGAAAAAAAATTAAAAAACAGTACAACTGATAAGAACTTGCGCTTGTGTGGATTCCTTTGAGTAAAATTGAAATTTGACGACCTTTAAGCGATGGAACGACTTACAGACGGTGACGAAAAGCATTCTGACGGACAATCGGAGCTGCAGGATCGATACCGCGAGAGCTCGTTGGCATTCCTGCGCCGGTCATCACGTTTGGCTCCTCCCGTCCATGGACGAATTCCTGATAGAACAGTCGGTTCATCTCGCTTCGCAAACGCTGCTCTTGCTCCAAACGCTCTCGACGTTGTCGCTCTTCCATCTCTCTCAGCTCACGCATATAGGCGTCATACCCTTGCGGTCCGTGACCACCTTCCGCAAACAGTTGTGTCATCGGGCTTTGATACGGCTGCTGATATGGCTGGTGCGACTGATGATAGTCTACGATTAAATGTCTTTACCTTAGAATAATATACTGACTACTGCAAAAAAAAAAGAGAGCGAAAATATGCTGTGCACTGCTTACTTGGTACGAAGTTGGTGCTGGATGCGCTGAGCACTGCCGGATCCGGAAGGTACGATCCATTCTGCTTCGTGTACCCTGACGTGGACGGTGTAGAAAAATTGTTACGGGTAAGCATCCCAGCTCCGTTCTGGACAGCGTAGTTTGGTGAAACTTGACTCATGGGAGAGAAACTAGGAACGGGTGCCATGGTTTTGCCTGTACGAGTGACACTCTGATGCAGTGGATGATACACTGCAAGAACGAAAATTTTTCGAAAAAGGATGGTAAAATCTATGCGTTTATACGATAATAGACGATTTACAAAACAATTTCGAAAAACTGTTATCCTGCTGAAAATTGAATTTTGAAATTCTTTAAAACATTCTCGGTAAAAGATAACTTACTTCCAGTCGAGCTTGCCACAACTTCGTGAAGGTTGGGTTGAGAAAACCGCTTTCGCTTGGCGACTTTCATTGGAGCATCCGGTATAGTGCGACGCTTCTTGGCTGGCGTTGGAGATGGGGGCGGGGAAATGATTTCAATTTCTGGAAAGTCACTACTTCCGGTCTGCAAGTGAACGTTCTCTTTATCAGCGCCCGTTGAATCAACAATTCCCAAGCTCTCCAAAAACTTCATTTCTTCGTCGTTAGGCATGATTGCTGGCATAGAAGCATGGTGCGGATCATAAATGTCGGCGCTCGTGTTGAGAACTGCCTCTTTTCCGTCAACCGTTGGTGCGTCGTTGCCAAAAAGCGCATAAGGCGGATACTTCTGCATTTTCGGCACAGGATACGCACACTTCGTCAAACGGTCGTAATTCCCCGGATCCAGAACGATGGCCATGAACATGGTGTAATGGTTCATCAGAAAACCCAGTTCTTCGGCACCAAGCGAATGCGCGTACACCACTGACCCAGCATTGGTAGGACGAATCGGAACCGTATCGATAAACTCGCCCGCTGCCACTCGCTCAACACGATCGTAGTTTAACTGGTAAACTGTCTCGCCCAATTCAGAGTAAAAATTGACCGAGAAACACAACGGACGATCAGCGTCTCCGAACAGATACACGAGCGAGCGCTCGTTCAAAAACTCGCTGGGCTGCAACACCTCCTGCGGCCAGTACGACTTGCATGTGATCTCGCAACTCATGTCCACGCACGTTGGTACCAGGTATTTTGGCAACAAAAGCATTGACCAACGCCCGGAAGATAAGAGATTCTTTGCAAGACTTAACTCTGGATTTAACCTTTCGAGACATTTTCGAAAGGACGACATTTGCGATAAAAAGCGAAAAACAGTACGATGCGATTTAAAACTGCAGGAAAATGCGAGCAACGGCTTTCCGAAGACAATAATGTAAACGAGATGTGAGGTTAACTGATCAATGGCAAGAAGTCAAATGAATCTACTCTCAGCATTATGAAATGTTGAAAATGATATTGACCTGGTTTCGTGTGATAATAGTTATACGAACGACCAATCAGCTATTGCGGCACGTTATTAGTCTGCGGTATCAGTTTCTATTTACACCGCCCACGACGCGCAAACTTTGCGCAAGGCAGATGAAACAGAAAAGACACATACGCATTGGCCGACATCTGTTTTCATAATTGTGTTAAATTGAGCTATACGATGCGATACAGATGTGCAACAACCAAGCGGAACGCTTTGCTTATTATACCACAATTATTGTAGCGAAATGACACGCGACTTAACAATTTATACACATTACTTCTTCAACGGTTCGCTTGACAAAAGTAGTTGACAACAGAATAATAGAAAAACAAACAGCATTTATTTGAAAGAGATCTTACAACCGTTCTCTTTTAACACGCGCTGCACGGTCTCTCGTTCAGCATAGCACTGTTCAGCAATGAAATCGGTCACAACAACAAGATTATGTTTTTTCTTCCCATGCGCTGCAATATACTCATAACACATCTGGTACAGTTCCAGCAGCAGCCTCTTCACGTCTTCTGCTTTATAAAAATCTTTAGCCAAGAGACTGCAGTGAGATGCGGAACGATGGACAAGCTCTGCCATTTTATCCACGATGGCGTCATCGCAGCCAACAGTCTCTTTCACCGCTTGATCGATACACGTGCGGTAGTCTTTTGGCACGCTAGTGTTCAGGTTCGACAGCCGCCCCTTTTTCATCAAAAACCCCTTTTTCAGGGACGGCATAACCCTGCACAACAAATGCCTCATCTCTTTTACGCTGCCTCGCTTCCCTGCGGCCCGCTTTGGTTTCCTTATTTGGCTCTCGCGCTTTAGATGAGCACAAATAACTACGGTCATAGCTCGCCGCAGTTGCGTTGTACCGGCTAACCAGCTCTTCGTCCGTTAGCTGAGCGCGTTCTCTTGCTTCTTTCCAATACTCTTCCCTAACAGCCATCTACAAAATATCTTCATTTTATTTTAAAAAACTTTTCGTTTTGAAGTATTACTTAACGAAGCGATCAAGCGAAGCGAAGCAGCGAAGCACACACAATTACGGCCCATTCACACAAGCAAAGAAAAATAGCAGCTGGGCTAGACTACCGATACTCTGGATTATTATTAGAAAAAAGATCAGCAACAATAAGGAATCAGTGCAAACAAGCACATTTTTGCATAGCCAACAACAACACATGCATCCACGACACTAGCAGAAAATTTCGAAAAAGCATGGTAAACTAGCCTAGAAATACGTTACATAATATTACGTTACTTGACAATTTCGAAATAATTTTTAAATTGTGCCACTTTAAAAAAATTTCTGTACATTGCGTAGTACATTACGTAAAGGCTACAGGGAAGTAACGGGTTGCGCACAGTTTAAGTAATTTTAAAAAATATAATTAGAGCGCATGACATAAGTGCACTGTACCGTTACGTTGGTTGCGTAGTGGCACTAACAGAGCATGCTTACTACTCGACCCTATTTAATTGTGCTTTATTTTCAAAATTATAGAAAAAATATGAAAATTTAAGAAATCCCTAATTTTTTAGTAATTTTTATTAAGTTTACAGTGTAAACTTACTTTCGTGAAAGTGAGGAGGACGTGGGACCGAATAGAGGACGGTGAATCACGAGGATCAGGCACACAGGCACATAAAGCAGGTTCTCAGTGTGTTGGATCCTGTTGACGGTACAACACCAGCGGTTGATCCCGTGTTTTTATAAAATAACGATATTTTATAAAATTAAGTACCTGTCCGCAGCTTGGGAATGGTCTGCGAATGTTGCAGAGTCGCGGAATAAGAAGCGACAGGCGGAGACCTGCAAACATCACACTGCACTGAACAGCAACAGGTGCACACACAGAAACCCAGCAATCGGTATAAAAATACATTTTTCAGTAGCAAACTACTGAAATAATCAGTAAAAACTTACTGGAAAAAAAGCAGTATGACGCGGACCGAGTAAAAGACGCTCCGACAGTGCACAGCGGATAACAGGCAGAAACCTGTGAGCACAATACTGCCAATAACAACGGCAAAAAACAACCAGTTTTCGACTGAAAACTTACCGAGAACTGTTCCCTCTAGGTCGGCCGATGTAGAAAGGCGATCACGGGATATACTATAATTATACCGGGCGCGACCTACTGACCTACTTTTAAGCGTTTTATATGCAACTTTTCTTCCTGAATCCAAAAACGTTGGTCCCGACTGAGGAAACTCAAACCTTCCAGAGTTACAGACAAAACCAGAAAACCCGGCGCAACTCACAAATACTGCGTACTCACTGTGTTATTACATACGCTAAACAGCGAAACACAAAAACTGAAACAAAATCGCTTTCAAAACAACCTAAGAAACCTGAGAAACCTAAGAAACGTAAGAATAACGTAAGAAACCTAAGAAACCTGAGAAACCTAAGAAACCTAAGAAACCTGAGAAACCTAAGAAACCTAAGAAACCCAAGAAACCTGAGAAACCTAAGAAACCTAAGAAACCTGAGAAACCTAAGAAACCTAAGAAACCTAAGAAACCTAAGAAACCTGAGGAATCTAAAAAACGTAGGAATAACCTAGGAAACCTAAGAAACCTGAGAAACCTAAGAAACCTGAGAAACCTAAGAAACCTGAGAAACCTAAGAAACCTAAGAAACCTAAGAAACCTGAGAAACCTAAGAAACCTAAGAAACCTAAGAAACCTAAGAAACCTAAGAAACCTAAGAAACCTAAGAAACCTAAGAAACCTAAGAAACCTAAGAAACCTAAGAAACCTAAGAATAACCTATGAAACCAAAGAACATTAAAAAGTTAAAAGAAATCTACGAGTTAGAAATAAAACAAAATTAAAGCTGGTGCGGTCTGGCTAACCGCTCCTCGAACGACAGCTACTGGCTGCTACACCAAACGCATGGACAGACTTGCTTGAGTGCACTGCCAGAGCATAACATTGCTTGATTTGCATTTTCTGAAAACTTTTTTTTCAAGAGTTGTTTTGGGTTTTCCTCACTTAAAACACATATAAATATAGTTAAAAAACCTTTCTATGCGTGTTTCAATCAAAAACGGTCAAATCGGCTGCGCCCGGTAAAATACGATATCATCGATCACGGAGCGATATCTGAAAAAAAAACACAAAAGCATATCCCGTTAAAACCGCGAACAGACGAAAAAACAGTGGAGAACAGGTACTATACGATGATCTTAGCGCGCACCTGTAAGATCGCAAGGAACTCTTCGCGTCCACGTAATGCAGACAATTTTCCATAAAAACCAACCGAACACACGTTCTCCAGCAAGGATCCACAAAAACAACAACACGATCGTGCACGAAAAGACCACAAACACGAGGATTCAGATTTAAATAAAAAATATTCAAAATTCAAAAGACGCTGTGTTGGAATGCAGGCCAAGATGGTGTCTAGCGTCTTTGCAACGGCTGATGTGGTGGCGCTGCGGTACGCGCACATATGCACAGCGCATAGTGCATACTTGCACATACGCGCATTTACGCGCACATATATTAATCTTTTTATTTATACATACAAAAAACAACTGTACACCTACAAAAAACACATAATTACGTAGAAAAAACATAAAAAACTAATTAAAAAACTAAATAAAATTTGTAATTGTTTTACGAGTATACCTGTAATTAGTGTACAGTATTACATAACGTATAATTAGCCCTAATTGGTGTACACCTGTAATTAGTGTACGGTTACGCTCCACTACACTACATAATTATACGTTACGCTCGAGTGCACGCACGTCACGCATGAGCGCACTAATTATATTTAATTATAGGGTAGAGTACAATAGATAGGGTCTAAACTCCCTGCCTAATCTACTGACTGTTCATTACTTAACTATTACGTTCGGATTCGTATACTATACTGTACAGTCAACTGCAAAAGGTGATTATAGTGTTTTACAGCATTTATTTTACCTGTTACTGCGATTACCATGCAAGCTATCGCGGTTATTCCGAATTTCCGCGCGTTGTTCCACATTATTATTCCAAGAATTGTCAAAATTGTCCGACAAAATCGCCACGAGACAGAATCAGCAAGAAAATTTTTTGTAAACAGAGAACCGCCGTTTATGTTATATATAATATTAAAAAACAGGAGATTCGTTCGGAGAAACGTGCTACAAACACTAAAATAATTAATGCCGATGCATAAAATGTGTTCGTACTGTATACTAAAAATGTGATCCACGAGTGATGCCAATAAAACTACTGATAACATTTTTATTATATTTTATCTCGACGTGCTTATTTGAAGTTTGCTCATGTCGCAATTGTTCGCGGCATTTTATGAAAATCAGCACTCCAGCGGTATCTTATCGATTAAAGCTGATATGTTTTTAGACATTTGACAAAACATTCTGGACAGCTGTATAAGCATTCATAAACTTGTGTTGTGTTTGTTCTTTCCTTACATCTCTACCTGCTTGTACTGAACGCAATATTAAAAAATGTGGAATGATAAAGTAAAGTAGCATAAATATTGGAATTGTTTAATGTAAGTACCAGAGCCTAAGTAAAAAAACCAAAGTTATGTTGGTAATTTGACGCTTTGTAATCTACACTTCAAAACAAATCCGGCATAAGAAAATTAACGTCGATGCGTTTTCCGAGCTTTACAGATCTGTTTTGTCGGAAATCAACGCAAACATGCATGCACTTTGATATACGGGTTATGTACAGGCACTAATGGGGAAAGATTTACTATACTGGAGCGAATCAATCGATATCGAAAAAAAAGCTGTTGCATCAATATTAGTGAGATAATGTGTTCGTGGCATGTGAAACTTTTAGAGCGGAATTCCTTTGCCATTCTCCCATTGTTGAAATCAAATAAACGCAATCCAGCGGCACAATTGGGTCACTAGTTCTGTGGTTGTTTAATAACAGCTGGTACAATAATTTCTGAATGTCTTCCGTAAAGAAAAACTCCTGAAATTATTAATGTTTTTCACTAACTGAAAACGTAGCAGCTAAAAACTGGGTTTATGTAACCCGGAATAAACTCAACTGCTTTGAATTTAAAATCTGGTTGTAATGAAGCAATGAAAAGTATACGAGTTTGACTGGAACACCATTATGCGGCTACTGCATACAGTCGTAAATGTGTATCTGTAATAAATGTACTTTTTAAAAAAGTTTCTGCAAGAAGCACCAAATTACAATTATGTACAGATAGCATTTATATCACAGCTAAGCGTACAACTGACATAATTATCACAACCGCAAAGAAATGGGTGTAAGCTACTGTATGTGTTGCATTTATAATTACTTTCAACAGAACGTATATCAAAGGCCACGCTGACCTTTTACTCGCCTAATCCATTTGCAGGATAGAGTGACGTAAGTTAAGTAAACCTTTTCCTTTAAGAAAGTAAGCATAAAATTTTGGAAAGGTACGCGTTAGCCTTTGTGCTTCAGTTTTCAGATACCCGAATAAAATTCAAAATGCAAAACAATTACGAAAGTTAAGCGAAGAACTACCGTTAGTTGTGCCGATTCGGTAGGCAACCGGTAGCGGTAGTGTACATTGTAGCGCTAGCGGTAGCGCTAGCGGTAGTGTACATTGAGCTTACGTATTTTTTTTGCTGTTTTCTTCGAGATATGGAGAAAAATTTTGTCGACTTTTGTTATCACAACAGAAAATCGCCACCAGCAAGTATCAGCACATTAAAATAAAATTTTATATTAAATAAAAATTAAAAATTTCATAAATTTTTGGTTTTTTCCAAATTATTCGTTAACTAAATTAAATAAATTTTTTGTTTAAAATCGTTAAACCCTTTTTTAAACAATATTTGATACAGTTTGGCTTGGTTTCAAAGCTACAACATGGACGACTGCAGCAAAACGTGCATGACGTACTAATTGCTATTGATTCTGGACACTATTGCAAGATCATTCAAGACTTCCTACAAGTAACATTCACGAATTGTTAGACGACGTTAATAACTTCTTGATGATTTCGGAAATTGATATGACTTCCGTTTGCGCCTAGTACTAGGTATAAACCACTGTAGGTAGGTTGTGCAAAGGTGCAAACCGTATAAAACGCAACATGATTTCCTTTAAGGCGAGGTTGATCCTTTACCAGAGCCAAAAACTAATTCGCAACATGATATTTTCAAAAGCCAAGGTTGATCTTTTGATTTATCAGTAGCGCGATTTATTCTCCGAAAACCCGATTACCATTGCACAACTATGACGTGCGGAATTTTTATAATGATTAAGCCATTTTTCTCATTGCACGCTATAACACATGCATGGCATATACTGTACGCTATAACGTCGGCCTGTTTTTTTTATAAACCTGATAGATTACGGTCATGTACAAAGTTAATGTAGCCGAAAAGAGAAATAGTGACCTGGTTAAAACTGCCACAATTAGCCAACAACAAAAACTGGCACGGCCACATTTCATTGGCGCATGAGTAAGCCAAATACCTTTTTTTAGACCGCTATTGATCGTTTCTGCGGAACAAATCTCCCTTTGGTTCGATTAAGACATTATGCCCAGCGCATTATTAATTATCGATTTTGTTTCTAAAACAAAAAGAAACGTACCGGCTATCACTGTTCGCATAGCCTGCAACCAGACAGTCAAGGACTTTAGCGAAGACTTAATCCCCCGGCAAAGAAAAACCACCCGCGCCACTGCTGCAGTGTATTGTAATTACCGGGCTCGGGTAATCAGCAATCACCGCGTGTACAAGTGTGTGTATAACAACATCCCTCCCGTGTGTTTCGACGGGGTGCCGCTTGACGCTTCCGGCGCGCGGCGACAATTTTGCACCACAGCGATTACGCGGATAGAGGCGGGACCAGTACAATCGCTGTGGTACCGCGTGTGCTGATACTTCTAAGCCGGCGGTGATTCGTATAGAATAGCTACGTGTTTATTATACAACAACCGGCACGTTTACGCGTTTCCTGGATTTATCAGCCGGGGGGTGGGTGCGCGCGCGATACGATGCGCTGCTTCCGTTGACTGGGCTATACTGTATGTCTCGAGCGACGGCCAAGAAATCAGTCGCAGCTGGTGTTGAGTGTACATGTGCTCCTGATTTCCAATTTTATCCCGTCGAAACACGACGTTCAGTAGAGTTAAATGTATGTATACTAAGGATTAATCACTTGAGCATGATGGATGCAACAACGATACAAATTATGCGGCGCGCGATGTCCGCGCGTAATCGCTTTCATGTGGGATGAGCATGATGTACCGGCTAATTGCTGCCGCAACGCGTAGATTTTTATCATACAGTATACCAAAACGATTCAGCATGCCCGGCAGCTATTGTCCCTGATTTTAATCGCTACTGTCTGCTTTTCCTGTCGACCTTTCAGCGTGATTGCGCAATGTGTACCTACCATTTTCTCGATTCATATACTAGCTGCAAATATATGCCAGCGCCCTTGAAATAATATTATTTCTGCGCAAATTACATTTCATATTATTGTGTTGTTGCGTATTGAATTAGGTTTTGGTGGCGTTATGCTCAGATTAACGTGCATGTGATGGTAATCAGGAATCCCATCCTGCGTCAATCGGGGTCGAACATAATGACCCGAGCGGATTTGTGGGGCTTAATTGCGGATTATTCTCACACATTTTGACCGACTGCCAGTAAAGTTATTTATAGCTGGAATTTGGATTTTCCCGGTTTTCTTGATTGTTCGCACTGGGTACTATAGAACCGCGCCAAGATGAGCCTGACCGGTGCCAATCTGACCCAGTTGTTCAACTTCACCCTGCCGCCCGATATGCGCTTCAACGAGGGCCACCGGGTGCAGATGATCGGCTACGGGATCCTCATGTCCATCTCCAGCCTCTTCAATCTGACCGTCTTCTTCCTTCTATGCCAACGGCCACGCCCCATGTCCCGCACCACCATCCTCCTGATCAGTCTAACGGTCAGTGACCTTCTGGTGACCTTTCTCACCATGCCGTTAGAGATCGCCTGGGCGTACACGGTGCAGTGGCTTGCCAGTGAGGGCGTGTGTAAGGTCATGATGATGGCGCGGATCTTCGGATTGTACTCGTCCTCCTTCAATCTCGTGGCCATCTCTATTGATCGCTTCTGTATTATCATGTAAGCGACAATAGGATAGATAAACAAACGGTCGGCATTTCTCGCGTAAATGATTTTGCTACAGTCAAAATTTTTAATAATTGTAAATACCTTTTTGGCATAAACAGAATCAAGCTGCCGCTACTATCAGATGCCTAAAACTGTACTGGGTATGCAACTGAAAACTTTTAACGGGTTAAAATTGTATTTAATATCACATTTTCTCATACACAGTTAATCCGGTGCTGAAAAATCAGTAACTGTTTTAAACACCTGGAGTATCGATTTTTATACACCTGTCATTTTCATCGATCGATCAAAATTAAATCCCGACGTAAGAAATAATGCACATTTTGTAGTTTAATTCAGTTTGAAGCGCCACTTGTGTAACTATGGACAAAGTAGCGTAATGTTTTGGATTCCCGAATTGATTTTATTGATTTACGCCTTTTTTTAATTCCGTTTAGCTGCATTAACGTATTAGTTTATTCAATTATCATATTTATTGGACAGTTTATCCATTCGGAATAATCTAGTTAGATTAAATTTACTGGTTGTTTCAATTATATCGCTGCTCTCTTCTTGAATCAGATATTATACCTGTTTAATTAATTAAAAATTTCGCCCTACTTTTTTGTATTAGAAAAGCAATTTTGATTTTTCAAGTTAACATACTAATTATTCGGTAGCAAATATAACTAAAAAAAGCCAGCATTCGTTGACGCATCTAAAATTAAAAGAGCATTGGCATAGCTGTCGCAACGGATAAGTGCCGCGCCGGAAGCTACCGGATTTATGTCAGGATTTGTTGAATCCTTGAATAACTGTGGGCTATCACTTTGGCTAGGTATCCCTTCACCACCATGACGTCGGCCAATGACCGTGTAAAGTCCATGGTGGCCGCGGTGTGGGTGCTCAGCGCCGTATGCAGCCTTCCACAGGTATGTATTATCGTAGGGCCACTTTGACGGATATCGTTTTTAGGATAATCCAGTTTTGGCCCCAGGCATAATATAAGAGATCCAGAATTTTTCATGGCTAACCGGCATATTTTGCATTGATTTTCATCGAACATAAAATGCAAATACAATACACGTAATCGATTGCCTGTATGTGGACGCAGGCGAAGTAGCTTTGCATTATTTCGTCAATATGTTTACCAACCGGATAATGTTACAAAGCTGAGTGTTTTATAATCCTCCTTTTCCGTTAGCTAAGACAGTCAACTACAAGAAACGGGAGATTTCGATGTAAATAATAACAACAATAACTTAGATAACATATTCGATCTGGTAGCACGTCTTTAATAATTCAAAATGCAAATGTCGAGTATGGTTGAACATATACTTTTTCAGTGAATTAATTCATGAGTGTGTTTAACGTGCAATTAATAACACGGCCAGAATCTGGCGAAATACAAAAAGCCACGCCTGGCACTGTACATACGTAGGGTGCCGGGATAATTTAAATTAGTAAATTTCCGGGTATGACACAGACAGTTGATACTGGGTCATTGCATGATTGCCCTCACCTGCTATAAGGAACAACCACCCTCTAGTTATTTCTTATAATTATTGTGTATTGTTTCCTGGAGCATATCTGCGCAGTGGGGAACCTTACCGGGATAATTGGTATCATTCGACAGGAAAATTATCCGCGGGTGACCACTGTAAAAGCGCGTAGTCTCTGCGTGCATGAATAATTTTCTGATAAATATGATTCAACGGGTCGGAAGCTAGAAAATTCCGCTAGATGATTGTCATGATACTACAGGTCGTTTTGTACAAGAATATTTCCTACAAAAGAGCGCTTCGAAAGCAGGAGTGCCTAACAATCACCAACTAATGTTTATTTCATTCTTTTCCCTGTACATAGCATATCATTCCCAATTTGCAGAAAATATCTGTTTGCAGATTTATAATATTTGATGAAAAAGATCGAACGCAGAACTCACAACGTGCGCATACAATCTGATTTTTAAAATTTGAAAATTGTGATACGAAATATCGTATCACAATTCGTATCTGTTCATACTCGTTCATAATATTCCGGTATCCTATAACGTGGTTCAATGATAATTTATTTTTAATTTATATCGATTTATTTTTTCCAATAATTCGTCATTTTATTTCAGTGTGTACTATTTGAAAGTTAATTTTATACAGTTTATCAACTGAACAAAGCAGCCAATTCCAGCGCGATAATTTCTTTAGTGAGCACCACACTTCTGTGGCCCAGCTGCATCGCGAGAAAATACAGTAAAATGTACGGAGCGTTGATCGGGGGAAGCCGGTTACTGTCGGCGACCGTCCCGGGACTTCCGTCACGTACGGGAAAGTGTCAGTGAAGCATGTGATTATTCGATTAGAAAACTCAATCAGTGCCCGGAAAATGATCCGGCCGAAAGGAAGGGGCCACCGTTTGCCACTCCATACTGTTAATGCAGCCGGTGCGCCTCGCAAGCGCCGTTCCGGTTCAGACGCCCGTCCATTTAAGCCGGTTTAGGTTGCGTTAGCGACCATTATCACACGGGCTGATATATATGCAATTCACACATTAATTGTTCCCGGTTGAGACATGTTTTTCCATGCATATACTGCGTCCCCTTCGCGGAGCACTCGACTGCACCGCAAAAAACATCACCGACAGCGTAATTACGGATAATGATGTCTTATGTAACACCGACTTACACACTGTTGCTGGCGTCGCTCCCGCATACGCAGTATGTAACAAAGTAAATCTAACCAATTGACCGGAACAATTGCGCTGGATGGAATTTCCGGCAAAAAATTGCGCATTTCGCTCAATAATGCGCGTACTGCGCAACGCAGAGGGGAATGGTTTCCGGCAAAGTTAATTACGAATGCTTTTAATGAAAACCAAATTTTCTCCTAATATTAATCCGTCTATCTAATGATGAAAATCGAATATAATGACGTAATTTTTCCAAAATCGAATTTCTGCTTTTCTCTTGCAATAACGGTCGCAGGTACGTAATCATACAGAAAAGCAAAAAAGCAGCAACACAAAAAGGAGCAAAATATCAGCAAAATTAAAAGACATTATTGACTTTATATGCATATATGGTAGAATCGAATAAGAATAATTTAAATATGGGTATACTTTGTAAGTAATATTTTTTATAAGTTACTAGCTAAATTGAAAAATGATTGCGTTTGGTAATTCCGTGACTGGTCTTATGAAATTAGCGGTAATTGCGGAAATTTCCCTTCCCGGCAGTTATTTTTGCCAAATCACTAAGACGCAGAAACTTTCTGCCTTCTCCCACTTTTCTTAAGCTTTACCAGCATTCCTGGATCGTGTTAACCGTGAAAAAATGTTGTCTTTTGGCCAGTTCTATTGCTCAATCTCAAGTGTACGTGCTGCTCATAAAACGTGCGGGTTTTCTTTTCGCTGATCGGCTTCTGGTTAATCTGTTGAGTGTCGCCGGCACCGGCTGCACTTAGTCCTAACGATTATCGATTGGCGAGTTTCCCCGATGCTCCTGCTCAACGTCCAGATTATCTACAGCATCTTCCCGGTTTGCGTTATTCTTCCACAATCGCAGGGAGATCTGCTTATTTATGAAGTACAAGGTTACGATGCCGGTCGTCAGCGGAAAAGAATAACGTCCATAAATCAAGTGATATTAGCCGGAAATATCGCCCAGCACCCGCGCCTGTGTGCCCTGGATGGTGGCCAACAACCGCGGCGTCTGTCGTCAAACTGTCTAATTGGTCGTAGCAAGTTTTTACTTTCCGTATATTAAATTGTCAGGATTCTCCGGGAGTCAGGGTACTTGATACTTTCGGGAAATTTCCACCGACACAAGGGGGAGGATTTTTTATTAGCCAAAAATGCGTGGATAATATAAAATAAAGTTTACATTGACATATGCCACGCCGGCGTATACATAATAATAAACTCAAAGTAAAAAATTGTATGGCTTGTCGTAAATAAAATTAATATGTGGACGTAGAGACGAACATTACTGGAAAAGGCAGTTAATCGTATTTTTAATTTTTACGAGAAAAATTGTTCAGTTTTAAAATTTTTACTGGGAATATGAGAATCCTTAATTCTAAGAGAATTATATAGAAAGAACATATCCTTCAGATCATATTTATAAAAATAATATGATTTTCTCTCATAAGAGAATAGGATATACGAGATCATATTTTCTTATAAGAAAACATTGCGAGAATATCACAATTAGCTTACTGCGATATTCACACAACAGTATTTCGTTGAAAGCACGGTAGAAATCATGGGTCATCACGAGATCTGGGAGCGCCAGATTGTGTTTAAAACAGGGTTTTTCTAATTATGCCTGTTATGTGTCTGTGCTCTGCAGTGTATGATGTAAGGTCATTGAGACCGGCATGCAGTAACCGAACCCCGATTCTGTTACAAGTGTACAAGTAAGACATCTATCACCATCTAACGCCGATCATTATCCAATCCGCCTATTAATATCTTCCCCCACCCAGCCTCCGGGCCGTGTACAGCGCTAGGATATATGCTGGCGATAAAAAAGCGTCATGTATCCCCGCTGATTGTTCTGATCGTCGAAGCATCCCCCCATTTCTGCCCCTGGGATAATGATCGGGCGGGTGTCATTATTCAAGCGCGTGTGTATGGATACTGACCACAACACTGCAATTTGTCACTTTTTGTCTGTACAAAAACCAATATCCTATTTCTTCTTCATTGTAAAGGGAGCCAGATATAAATAAAAATATCAGCCGGGCGCGCAGTGCAATATACCCTTAATATGCGGCTTAGAATGTTCGTCGCGTGCCAAAATGGTGCAGTATTAAAAAAGCAGCGGGCACTGCACCGGCATTCACATCCATCAAGTGTAATTTGATTGGGATGATCGGCTACTTACGTGCACGGCATTCCTGGGCTGTGAGGTCGGTGGTGGTTGAGTTTAAGTTATGGTGGAGGATTGGTTACCCAGCTGTACACATGCCAAAACTGCTCTTAATTGTTTCCAGGAAGTCAGTAAACTTGTGTGCATAGTTCCCACGATGCCGGCTGATCGAAGCGGCATCTGGGATTGGTTGTAAATTAACTAACGGTGGCAGCGTTCACAGCAACATCATTGTGGCGTAACCGCCGTTACGGCTGCAACTTGCGCCCATCAGTGTAATGTATTTCAGGTATTTTGCGTAAATTTGTTCAAGTATTCACGTCAGCAGGAAAGTGCGGAGATCTATAACTCTAACGAAGCTATAACATTCTCTTTTAATACTTAACCGCAAATCTCTCGCAGCCACGCATTTTTCGATGAAAAAGGAAGGCCACCCACCTGAGCTGATGGTCCCGTTAAATTTTATAAATATTTTACTCAAAAGATTATTAAATTATCGCACTTGAATTTAAAGCCGTATCTCCTAAAATATAAATTGTGCTGTGGAAATCTAGTAATTTTCAGAAAATGATTAATTTTAGATCTTTATTGCTGATCATTGCACGGTAGAAACATATCCGGTGAATTTTATCCGCCATATTTAGTTCGCAATTTAATAGTAATTTTGCCGGTCAGTTTGTAGGTGTTTTAATAAAGTGCTTGCAAGCCGCCGCAATCAATCAACACCGTCATAATGGCTCTGCATAATATCGAAATGTTGAGTTTAAGAACAGGACAATCCAATTATACGAGCGCTATCACGATCGGTGCCCTCGTGCTGCTAATTTCCTGGTGCGTCATTTGATTTGCTGTCTCTCGTAGGCGATAGTATTCCGAAAGCTATATCATCCCTTCTTCACCACGTTTGCTCAGTGCGCCACGTTTGGAGCCTTTCCGACACCAGAACTGGAACTTCTATACAATGTGTAAGGCAATAAAAGCTATAATTATTATTATGTTAACTGCGTTATTGCTATATGAAGAAACAACAATCAAATGAAAATGAAACCATTTTGATACGCGTATTTTTAAAGCGAGTACCAACTGTAAAAAGTTTTTCTTAAAAACGAAAACAAAACGGAAAAAAATATGAATATACAAATACAGAATTTAAAAAAATAGAAATAAGAAAAATAGTTATCCATTTGGCATAAATACTGATCGCTTGGTTTACTGGCAAATAATCGAAAGAAACGGGAACCATCGGTAAGCGAGATGGATAGCTTGATATCTTCTTTGAAATTCCAAAAAAGTTCAGGGTTCAATGATGGTGCCTACGTCAAGAAGATCATCGCCAACAATGTAGTACACGACATAACGATAGTTGTGACCAGTCATTTTTTATGTTTTTTCATTCACTGCAATTACTAGTGGCACACAAGCACTTGTCAGGCGAACAAATTGTTTCGATGATGGATTAGAGTAGATAAATCAATTATGTTGCTGGATTTGTGTATGGACATGTACCATCGCCGCTTAGGCGCCGGCAAAGTATCAGCCACGAAGAAAAAACCCGCACCAAATAATCGATAATAACATTTAATTATCCACTTACTTAAAATTTGGGATTTTAAAAAAATACAAAGTGAGTGAATAATTGAATTCAATGCAAGTGTATTTTCAATGCACGTATCACACAAATTAATATTTCCGTGAAGTTCTGTTATATAAGTAAATAGAACTGAGCAGGCTGATCGTCCAAAGGATTTTGAAAAACAGACGATAGTCAGCTTGATGTTTTTCACAGAATTTTATGTAACCATTAATTTATGTGATACGTCCGTCTAAAATATAAACACCTACAGCTAACTTTATAGTAGGCCTGTTACATACGATACAGTGGATTGTGTGATGCCATTTGAGTGTTACAAAAATGCCGGACAAGTATGTGTGTACTGGCGGCTTTTTTATTTCCGGATTTTTTCTTTTTACTACCACTAGAAAAACACTTACAAATTTATTAGTTATAAGGCAGAGTTTGTTATTTGGGCTGAAAAAACAGCATAATAAGATACATTCCCCTTGTTGCACTGCATTTAATTTTTCTTATAAAAGCGAATTTCAGGAAGAAGCAAATGTATGATCTTGTCAATTGTGAAATGGTGACCTCTTTTGTATATATGTTATAGGTTCGTGACGCTGATGTTGTTTGTCATTCCCCTGCTGCTTTTCATTGTTTTTTATGGGCGATTGTGGTTCTACATACGGGGGCGTCATCTCATGACATCCCGTCCGGATACACGCAGCCACAACGGATCCGGTGGTGGTGCCGGCGAGCAGCATTGCAGTACCGGCTATTCGGCCGTGCCGCTCAGCGCGTCGGCGCTGACAGTACCGGATATGCATTGTCCCACTCCTCCGCCGGGTCAGGCCGTCGGCAATGCACGCCGCCATAAATGGCGATCACGAAAGGGTGAGTTGCAGGCGGATTTTTCTTGGCATTGGACCATTGGTATAATAAACGGAAATGCAGTTAGGGTAACTTGTACTATTGCTTGTGCTGTTGTGTGTTTGGGACGCCGTTCTGAGAACGGCCATCGGATATGAAGGACTACGCTCAATAATATAACTGACAATGGTGCACAGAAAGAAGCAGCGAGGAGATCAGGGAGCTTCCGCATTTAGAAGAAGCAGCGAGGAGATCAGGGAGCTTCCGCATTTAGAAGAAGCAGCGAGGAGATCAGGGACCTTCCGCATTTAGAAGAAGTAGCGAGGAGATCAGGGAGCTTCCGCATTTGGAAGAAGCAGCGAGGAGATCAGGGAGCTTCCGCTTCCGCAAAAAAAAAATTGTTACTGCTTCGAAAACAAAAATAATTTCTGTGTTAAAGAGTAGGCATTTTTATACTTAACGGTCTATCAAATCCCGATGGTTTCTTACATTAATATCGAAAGAAATTTTCTGTTTAAGCTGTGAACGTAAAACAGAAAGTCCGTAGATTTTTGTTGAACATTGGCAAGCGAATATGTTACAACAATGTGACTAAAAACACGAATTCTGTAATGCTGTTATGCAAAATAATCCGTTTCATCGTTCCATTACAGTACTGTAAGTAAATACAGCATATAAGTGTTTAAGTACTCGTAATTATGATTGTACTGATTTTTTATGATCTAATCGTTTTTTGGTGGATATGCAGGCATAAATATGAATACAAATACAGTATATTGTAGTTTATCTTATTTTATTTGCTTTAAGCGTAATCAAATAAAAAAAGATAAATTACTACACCACTCACGTGGGTACTGATTGCTCTGGAAAGAGACAGCGAGTACAGGAAGACGTTACCGAAAGCACAGAAAATTTTTTCGATAGTACCAGTTCCGCGAACTGAGCAAGAAAAACGAATGATATGTCGTTGCAAGTTGTTTTTTCGACACAGCCCGTCAAGTTCCGGGACAAAGTCACTGATGTTGTTCTATTTTTTCTTTACAGATCCATCATTTGATAATGCGATGGTGGACTATAATCTCGGGCAGTCCATGCGCTACGGAAACGCGCCCAACATCTACATGCGTGCCAAGAGTAAAAGCTTCAAAATGGCGATCACATTAGTTATTGTTTTCTTGGTGTGCTGGGTGCCCTATTATTTAGTCAGGTGCGTGCTAGCGGTAATTTGTTCCCTTTGGCGTCGACTACTTGTCCGCCCACTTCGGCACTTATCCCACAGAATAGTCACTATATATACACGAAAAGCCGGGTCGGGCGCATTCTTTATTCAAATCGATGTGCGCGGGCCGTCCACGACGTAAATCGCGATGGTAATTATATAAAAATGCTAATGACTTGTCATGACTGGCCGGCCAATAGCGCAAGGATAATTAATCATCCCGAAAATACCCGGGGAAAAATATCATTATCCCGGCGGGGAGAATAAGTGGCTGTACTTTGTGGAAACTGTCTTTGTTTGCGACGTAAAGGTCCACTCTTAAATACAGATACACGTATACGGTACAGATGCATGTGCACAGATACATGTACGGTATACATGTACATGTATTAATTGTAAATACACATAAAAGCATTGAAGTGATTGAACTGTCATTGTGGCGCTATGCATAACGTCGGATTGACCTTTTGCGGCTTATACCTGTATAATACTGGTTTCTGCATTGTTAGTTTTATTCCTTGGCAAGTTTATGATAATTAGACATAGACTCGCTGTTCTGCATTAAGCCAAAATGACCTTTTGCAATTTATGAACACCGGTTCCTAAATTGTTGGTTTTTTTCTTCGACAGTTGCTGGTATTGGTTCGACAAAGACTCACTGATATCGCTAGATCCGCGGATCCAGCGCGCTCTCTTCATCTTCGCCGTCTCCCAGTCCTGCCTTAATCCAATTGTCACGGGAATCTTTTCCCTGCGTTTAGATCGACATTTGACGGTATTGTCCTGCTGCCGGAAGACATTAGGGACACACAGACGGACGCCGCTGAATGATAATCGTAATGGTAATAATATTAATCTACCCACACCAGCCGGCTGGATACATACCAATAATCGATTATCCGTCCGCCGTCCGATCAGCTGACAGTGTGTGATGTAATATCCACAGCAGCACACATCTTTGTGTGTACGAGTATATACGCGCGGGCCGCGGCGACGAGGGAATATATTCGCCCAGGCTCACTTCCGGCCACTCACCGGCGGCTTCCTTGCCTGGGATGCGATAATATCACCGCTGGGATGCCGATGTTACGGAAATGCCGAGAAAAACATCGTACACTGTACCGGTTAGACGGATCAATGTGGACGCCACTGTCGACAGAATGGCCATGTGTACTTGCGCAATCGCGACGCTTTTTTTTGCCGCGACCGGCGTGCCATCTGGAGACATCTCTCATCACCGTGCAATACCAGGCAAAAGCGTTATAAAAATGTATAAGAAGATGCTGATGGACACCGTCGAGCGAGCAGCACCGTGAATTACGCACTGCTTCCGGCTTTTTTGGAGGACACCCACATTTATGTTGACGGTCACTCCTCGGCGGCCGCGCGCGCCATCACTGGAGTGTAATTAAAACATGTCAAGTGTTCCGCAACGGGACGCCCGTAAAATGTTTTTCTATGTCGGCCACTTGTCAGAGGCTTTTCCTCTCTCATTTCTTTCTCTCTTCTCCATATATCTGATCTTTTATGGCCGCGCCACTGCATGTCTCATCTGCTGGGTCCATAAATGCGGCCCGGGATCTCAACGCCTCAGCTGGTTTCTACTATGGGATGTTTCTATATGCGAAAGAAGTTTTAATAGCACTTGACGTGGGGCTGGCTGCACTGCTCACAGCGCAGAGATTGGCGCCAATAAAATTCTATCTGTGTTGCTCTAAGGTCGCGCCGTTGAGTGGCGTATGAGATCCACACAGGCAATAGTTACAGCACTTGATTTATCAACTTTACAATCTGATTCATTCAGAGAACTCTGCGCGCCGTTTTTTAGACTGCTACCCGTAAAAAACATGTTCCGATTCCAGAACAATTAGCTATAGTGACATAAAAATTAAAAACGTTATTCTTACTTGTAGTCGGTTTAAAAATATATAAGTTGCCCGAAATTCTAAAAATATGTGTTAATTTATAACTGAAAATGTATGCATAACGTGTACCCAGATTTAATTATTGAGCGGCTTAGAGGATGGCGTAATTTGTTCGAGTTATTTGCACATGAATGAGTTAGGAGCGTAAGCGTTATCTTAAGATTGTGACCTACTCAAAAGCGGAAGTAAAGCAAAGTAACGTCACACTGGCTAATGTGATTTACGGGTTTCTCTTTTACGGGCGCCGGGTGCGTCCTCGGCTCGGTTTACAACCGGCAGTTTATCTCTTCTGAAAATGCTTGCACCGCTCCGTAAATCGTCGGATCAAATGCAAACAAGTAACAAACATAATTTTAATTATGTAGACACCTTCTTTGACGCATTTTGATTCTGTCTGGCCAACACAGTAATAAGGAGTTTGCCGGAAAACGACATTATCATTACAATAAAACGAGTGCAGAGTTCACATCACCCGGTATCGGTTTCGACACACTATTGCCAGTAAATAATATATTATATTACATTGCCACAAATCGTTTAACATTAAACGTCGTTCCATATAGCCGTTGAACCCTGGAGTGTCTGGATCGTGCCATTTATGTGTAATCATTGCTCATTAGTGTTGTATTTTGCGTCAGAGGTTTCCGTTTTTTTTTTTAAATTTGTGTTGCGCTCCATGTTCTTCTGATACCAGTGTACATATAGAGCGAAATCTGTTATTACAACGTACATAGCCTGTAGATAAAACGGAATTCCACAATCACAGTACTTCCTGTGCGTGATACGCTTGAAACGTCGATTTTTGAACGCGCTTATAGCCGTTTAAAAACTGAACATAAATTTGATAATTATTAAATAAAATTTGTAATAACTGAACAGCGATAATCATTTGAAATTATGAACGTGGCAGTACATATGTTATCTGCTTTGTACCGTGGTCGGGTTTTTTGGAGTACGAAGTGACACAAACGGTACTTTTTTTGGTTGTGGCAGTTGTGCTTATTCAGTGTAGTACATAAACCAGCACCCAAGTTTCACACAGCACAATGATAAAAGCATTAATATATTGGTACGAAGTCTCCGTCTTGCGTTAAATATAATTTGCACAGACAATGTACGACTTAAAGCGCAGCTTTGGGATTATTATTTTGACTTTGAGCGCACCCCAAATTTTGCGCTTATCCGGAGGTAATTATCGCCATTCGATGCACGTCACATAGGCAAAACTGACATGGATGAAGCAGGTACATCTACCGGTATTTGTCGGAACGTCACGGAAATTAAATTACCTTGTAAAAATAATCCTACATACTGTCGTCGTATGTCTGGAATACAGGTGCGCTCACTTGTCTCTGATGCTTCCGGTAAAGATTCTGCTTGGTGGCTATTCACCACGCGCTAAGACAGATGTCCATGACGAAGAAAGAAATTTTCTTCCGTTCTTATAGAACGTTACATGCATTTCGGAAAGATCCTTACGAGTAGTGTATCTATTGCAAGTATACATTATGTTATATATTTCCAGATCCCGAGTCTATTTCTTTACAAACCCACAACCATCTTTCATTAATTTTAGTATTACCATAAAACGCAGTGGATAGTTTAGCTGTATTATGACTGCTAAATGTATCTGGTTTTCCTTGTTTAATATTATTGGGAAAGTACAGAAATGTGTCACACAAATTATTTGCTATCTCTACATGCTTTGCGGTTTAATTGGTTTGGTTCCCCCTGAAAATATCATCATTCTGCATTTTTGCTTTGTGCCATACATCGAAGTACTATGTAAGTACAAGCACGCGCGCAACCAGTAATACTTTTCTGCAATCGTTCTTTGTACAATCATTGTACAATTGTACACACAATTGTACAAAAGAATACTTTTGTACAATCGTTCTTTGTTGAGTATATATTTATATCCCGTATTTTTGTGAACTGACTTGTCCATAATTAGAAACATATTTCTAATTATGTTTTCATTTCGTTTTCTGTAACAACTAAAAGTATGGTAACGCTGTTGTGTGGGCTACAGGATTTCTTTACAGCATTATATTGATATACGATGCCAACTAAAATTTAATGAAGCATTTTGTTTGCAACGCTTTCCCTTTCATTGTCCCAAGCAAATTCCAGTGCCCTCTAACTTACTTATTCTATGCATAAGTGTCGCAATATTAACTATTACTACTCGTAGAGCAAAAAAATGGCCTCAAGGCAGTACTGTACGCAACATGATACGTATATCGTTCTCACGAAATCACGAGAACGAAGCATAAACATGGTAAGCGGCGCATGTAACAACAGCGTCGCAAATACCAGCGTCTAATTAGCTAATCGACATTTGGAGACATTATAAGCGGCTAATCCGGAGAGAACGACAGACCATGCTATATTTGTGTCTATAGGCTACTGTAGTTGTGGATACAAGGTTAGGGATGTAAGCGGAGAATAGAATATTACTTTGTTGAAGATATGCGTATGTCTTGAGGTACTGACGACATCTTACAGTTGCATAATCTTTAAGGTGGGCGATGTATTAGATGATGTAAATGTTAAGGCGAAGATTTTCCGTGCAACCCTTACAAGCGTCCATGCACGGAACAGATTAGAAATCACGTTTTTGTGACCTCCATCTTCGTCTGTCGCATCGCCGCATGGCATGGGTTTTGCTGTGCATTCCCTGTTCTCCTGGAGAATTTCAGCCTTCCACCTCATCAACCTATTATCTATTGTAAAATCTTGTCGGAATTTGTTGGGAATTACAGCCATGCTACATAGTGCGCAGTAGACCGGGTTACTTACACTATTCAGCGTGTTCAGTCTCTACACAACAGCAATATTTACATGGATGCCGCCACCTCGCAGCCACAAAAATTACACGATGCATCTTATCGTTAAACCATTGTTTTTACTGCTGCTAAGCCGCCACGTGAATTTGGCGCCGGTTCTGAATATCAGCATTGTGGCCGTGAGTCGCGTCAATCCGATCGGTTACGGATCGCTTCCCTACAGTGGACCGGGATTATCCATCGGCATAGAATATGTACAGCAGAAGTATGCCGCTACCATGCGGTTTAAGCTGACGTTGCTGTATGATCGCGTACAAGTGACCTGTGCGGATATGGAAGACGCCGCGGTAGGGATGATTTCCGATTGGCACTATCGACGACGAAATATTAACGACACGACCATATATGTCAATGGCGGTAGGAAGATCTTACGGAATATTATTTCAGCTAGCATCTAGATATAGCTGTTTCAGTTTTTGTTGTTTGTGGTAGCCTGCCTTGAAAACACCGAGATGCCTTACTTTATGAGAAGATGGAATACCCTATGGATCTCCACGTGTGTATAATTTCACAGATCGTATTCCTTTAATTAAAACCGCGATTTATGTTACAGGCGTGAGTTAATGTTGATGTGTTGCAGATTATCAGCAAACTCACAAATTAGTGATCGCATTCGTAATCCCACGTGGATTGCGGTGAACGATTTTTCGACCGCGCAGTGTTCGCAACTCTATGTGGACATGCTGAATAAATTCCGGTGGACCACTACGTTTGTGGTTATTGATACGATCGGACCGTCCGTGTACGGCATTGTTGCTGGGTTCGTACTTGAAGACCTAAAAAAGCAGCCCAACACAACGCAGTATGTCCGAAAAATCGCACCACGTCCCGGTGTTCCGTTTGGTAATTTTGGATCGGTATTACAGGACATAGCCAAAGTCAGCCGAGGTTAGATGGCTCTGCTTCTTTGCTGCTCCGCTAGCTTTAACGAAAGTTTATTTGCAGTTGTTCTGGTTTTCGGGCATGCCGCACTTCTACGCGAATTATTGGTAAACCCACATAAAACTAACTACAAACTGAATGTTTCTTAGGCTACCGTATTTTCTAATCGCTTTTGCAGATAGTGGCGCATCAAATGGACATGACCAATGGAGATTATGTATGAGGCGTTGACCTTAGCAACTCTGCGTTTAGTCCACATTTCTTTCACAAATTTAGGTGTACATTGGTCTGGAAACCATGCGAAATAAACCGATCCTTGGAAACTTCCACTGGAAATACAACAATGATGATGATACCGTAAATGGAAGAATGGTTACCTGTTAAAGTTGCTACAGTATGCATATTCGTTCTAGATTGCATTTACGGCATTCCGGTCGCTGCTCATGGTGCAACCGGAGGACGTCGATATGCCACCCAATTTAGATTTGGGAATGCAGTTTGTTCAACGTTCCGCACGCGATTACAACTTTACGTACAACATCTCCGATCAGGTACAATTGCAATTCAGCTGTCGCTCTTACGACGCCAGTCAAGGTATTATCTGCTGCGATTACTGTTGTGACATTCGATCGCAGAGCTTCCCCAATATTGTCAGCAGCTACTGGGCCATTTTGGCAACGGCTCAGGTAAGAACGGCATCGTAGATACAACCACTGCAACGGATCGGCGTTGCGTGTTGTCTCGCTTTGAGATAAGGCTGTCGACCGGTCACGTTAAGATTACCGCTCCCGCTAGTTAATTAAGCTCTAATGAAACTGTTTAACGGAAGATGTCACTTCTGCAGTTTCTCAATGATTCCTTATCGGGTGCTGGTGATCTGGATTATCGCGATGGCAGCGCCATTGCCCGTCTCTTTCTCAATCGAACGTACACGGATGATTACGGTAGTATGTACATCGACAACACTGGGCAAAGACGCACGGATTTTGTTGTTACCTATTTCAGTTCATCCGGAGTTCGAACGGTAATGCAGTTAAGAGTAATCCAGACACAATACGTTGTTGCAGCTTTGTATCTGTTTCAGCCTTTATTGACCAAAATTGGTAACAGCGAATATTTGCAAGGGGTGGTGAATTTGACGAATTGGGCGAATTCCAGCAAACAATTTCCGCCACCCAATCGACCATTCTGTGGTTACTTGAACAACAGCCCGTCTTGTTTATCGGCTAGTAAGTAGGCGTTTAAAAGGTCAACCGTGTCAGTTCACCTATGTGCCCGGAGAATTATTCCTTTAGGAAGCGATACGTGGACTTATGTGATAATTTTTACGCTATTTGGCTTTTCGCTCTGCGCTATTGTCTTCTGCATCTTTTACGCCAGGTACGGTTTTTTCGCATTGGGTTTTAATAAGTAGTCGGCCATATTTTGCCCACGTTCAATAGGTACACTAAGTTACGAAATGAGGAGCAGTTACTGCTGGATCCATGGTGGCAGGTTGATACAGACGAACTGCAATCGCCCTCATTTTGGCATTCGCATGCATCCTCGATCTTTGTTGCTCGCAAAAAGTCCTGTAAAGAAATCATCTCAAACGCCGTGTCTGAGTCGGTAAGCGCAATTACAAACGTTTCGATTTCCTTTCGACCAATCTGTCTGAAGAAAGTGCAGCACTTAATGCATTCATTGTTTTTACTGTTCTGACAGAATGGGACTGTTCGATTTGCATCCTATCAAGGCAAAGCTGTCGTCTGCTCTCCGGTAGCGCTTGGAGAAGGCATACTGACTTTCGAAGAACTCTTTGTCAACGGCAACCTATTGAAATTGTTAAAAATGGTATGGATCTTTGCATCCTTTGCAGTCAGTGACCTCTGCAATCGTAAAATTTGCGGATGTCTTACCAATTAATATGAACAACAAAAGATGCTTTATGTGATTACAGTACCGCGGTTTAGAGCACCAGAACCTCTGCCGATTTTACGGGCTGAGCATTGAACTGAGCGGTATCGACAGTTTCACGGTGTTTGTTGTATTTTCCTGTCCAGCTCGAGGTACGCTTCCTGATGCTTATCGAAACCCGATTAGCAAGGATTTTGCTTTTACGAGTTCGTTGATTGTGGATCTTTTGGACGTAAGCCGTGTTAGATTGGTTTTCCCTTGTTATTCAGTAAAATGCTTTTTACTGACATCTCGGTAATAATCGGTGTCTTTCACGTTAGGCCTTGGACTTCATCCATCACTCCATGTTCACTTACCATGGTCGACTGAGCACGTTTAACTGCTGGTTGGATAAACACTTCACACTGAAGCTAATGCATTTGGCCAGCGACAGGATACGGACCGAACTGGGAACCATCGTCGGCAGCAATATGGAACGGCGCTGTCCCAATAATGCCATTTGGGAGCATTATTTTTGGGTGGCACCCGACGCAGAACAGGCCGACAGTAAAGACCCATACAGTATCAAGGCCACGCAGGCAACCGATATATTTTCCATTGGACTGCTTCTCTACGATATCCTCACCAGGGGCGCGCTAATACGGAAAGTTCAGAACATGTTCGGTAGGTGATAAGAATATACGGTTTTTGCAACGCCAAACATGATATGAAGCTGTCCAGTACAAAACTGGGTTTAAAATTACTGGGTTCAAAAAAGCCGTTTTTTCATGCAGATAGTAAGTCTGCAATAAGCATGGACAGCCCGATGAACCCGTTGATCTGTGCCGTGGAAATTACCGAAGTGCTGGAATTTAGCGATGTGATTTTGTCTTGCTTGAGGCGAGATCCATTGGCCAGACCAACCGTCAAGACGCTCCGTTATGCGCTGACCTCGATCTTCACTGCGCTGGCGCCCGAAATGATTCATTACAAATTATTCGATAAAATCCATCACCGTCTGTGTTCGTATTCGGGCCAACTGGAGCAGGAAGTGGCCGCCAGGACCAAGGCTTTAAAGGACGAAAGGAACCGTTGTGATGCACTCATCCGTCAATTTCTTCCCAAGTGAGTTTTTCAGTGGTTCAACTGGTCGATCTGGTTGACGCTCGCCTTTACTGATCTTTTGCGAATATATCCTAATCACTGGACCATTTTGGGGCGCCTCTAGAGAAATAGTGGGAAAGCTCCGCACTGGTCTAGACGTACAACCGGAGCTCTTTGATAGTGTGTCAATCATGTTCACTGACCTCTTCGGCTTTGCCACCCTTCTTCCCTTTCAACCGCCCCACGAGACCTTTGGTTTGATATCGAAAGTGGAAGACTTTTTCGACGCCATGTCTACGACGTATGACGTCTACAAAGTTGAGGCTGTCGGTGATTCATTTCTGGTTAGTATTAGTTAGTATTATTTTGTTGAAAAGTGTTCGCTGCTGTTCGTTTTAGAAGCCTATATATTCCGCTGACTTACATGTTGTACGAGTATACTCGATGCACAACTCCAAGTACAGAAGTACAGACTAAGCCGGAATGCGATTCATGCAGTACAATATTATGAAGTGTATAGATTAAGACGTCGAGCGGTATTATTAAGTCCTAAAGACAACCGTAAAAACCAGCGTGATTGGGGTACTGTATGGTGACCATGGTGTATTTGAATAGGTGGCCAGTGGATTACCCAATCGGATCGGTAGTCTTCATGTCCATCGAATTGCAAATTTTGCTTTAAAAATCTTGGAACTGGAACCGACACTGGGCATACTTGGCGCACTGCGCTTGAAAACTGGCGTCCACTCCGGTCAGCATCGTCGTTCAGTTTAAATTGCACAAAAACCGTACAGTCATATTATTGAAATGTCTTCGTAGGTCCATGTGCGGCAGGAGTTATTGGAGTTAAAAGACCTCGCTACTGCTTGTGAGACTGTTAATGTTGCTCAGTTTGTCGCTTCTTCCTTCATTAAAATGCAGATTTACGCACCGGATTTTTATCAAGGCGTTTAAACATCATGCCTAAATTAAGTTTCTTGGTTTTCTAGGTTCGGTGACACAATTAATGTAGCAGCCCGGATGTGCAGTCAAGGAATACCGGGGCGCGTCCATATAAGCTCGGATTCCAGGCGCCTCCTTCAAGAATTTGATGATCGTGATTTTAATTTTGAACCAAGAGGTTTAGTAGAGGTTAAAGGGAAAGGCCAGATGAATACGTTTTGGCTAAAAAGCAGAGCGCGTCTACCATTTTACAACTATAATGAAATTACTGTAATACCTGCAGGAGAAAGCATTCGGGCTAAATCTCTGCCTAAGTGGTTGAAATATTAGAGCTGACATCATATTGACGTATGGGAGTAGGATCATACGCCGGATGTACGTACGGATGCTGACTGTCCGCCTTCCACCTGCAACACAACGGATAATCTAGTCAATCAATGCTGTGATTTGCTGTTCTCTTTACTAGCGATGTATATGATGTCATAACGCGAAGTCTATATAAGTTCTTGTGATGCCTAATATCGGTATCAGTAGTCTGAGATTTACTTCTGAGACTGCTTCTAATTACAATTTCCTAGCGTTGTGAACTGTGATGTGAATTGGATAAAGAGACAGCAATACTTGTTCCTTCTGGTGTACGTGATCGCTCCCGGATTATTGCATAGAATACAGGTTTGCTCGTGACACAATCGTCCTAGCTCTTGCCGATCCTCACAGGACTTACGACCGGAAGTTGTGGTTAGCGTGTTCCTGAGGGATTCCTGATCTTCGTGATCCTGAAACGTTCGTCATATCTCCACCATAGTTCTTCTGTTACAGTTTGAGAGTACGAGTGCCTACCGATTGAGCATTACAGGCGTGGAAGAGTAAAGATTGTTCATGGAGCCTTAACCGGCGTGAACGCTTATACACGACATGGCGCCCACCGGTGTCTTTTAATTTTCCCGATGTAACGAAAATTATTGGTGGAAAGTTTGATGGTAATTTATTGATGGTAAAAGTGGTCCGTTTTTGAAAGGCGTCGAACCGCAAAGGTACGCCGAAGGAGGTCAGCGTTCCCGATCTGGCCTAGTTGATTTATTTTTAGCGAGCTTCCTCGCAATTGTGAGCTTCCTCACTGGTGAGCTTCCTCGCCAATTAAATTAACATAATTTAAATTGGACCGTAGGAATAAACAGTCGAAACCTTAAAGGTCGGCTGTGTAATTAATCGGTGTCTGTGTGGGTAATTTCCGGGTTGTCTGCGCAAAGCAGTAACCGCGGCGAATAAAGCGTAATCTGCAGTGTCAGTGTACCTGGCCTGCAGATAGATCAGATAGTAAGCACCGAGCCATTGTCAGTGGCCAGGTGAGATAACGATCTCCAGCAGACTGATAAAGGCAAGCCGCAAGCGGTAGCCAAAATCAGCAGCTAGAGAGAGTTGACCGTGAAAAGGTAAACACCGGCAAACGGTGATTGACCTGTGAATTCTAAAATTACTGTAGCACGCAAAGTGCAGCAGCGTAATTTTAGGAAGTTGTTACAGTCGAAACCGCAAAGGTCGTCTGCGTTTAAAACTCACTTAACAATTCAAACCTAAAAGGAGGATTGGGAGGTGACGTAGTAGTAATTGCACAATTGCAATTTCGGAAACAGTAGCACAATCGCTACTGTAAGTATTATTTTAATAGCCGCAAAGGTTATTTAAAATAAAAAGCAGAAATGTCGGGCGGTTCGATTCCTAGAAATCGCCCACCACCGCGTAAAATCCCAGACAACAAAGTGATCATTGGGGCGTATGATGGGTCGAGAGCCCAGACAAGGTTTAAATTCAACGCAAAAGAAATTCCGTTGAATGTGATGTACCTTGCTCTTAACGTTGAACCACCAGAAGCACAAGATGCATTCTGTGGAAAGTCATGGATTGACTACCAGGAAATCAGACGGTATTTAAATTCCAAAACGAGATTACCGGCACATTTTAAACCCTGGATTGAGTACGAGGGATGTATCCCTGAAGCTTACCTGGACATCACCTACGAGCAGTTTAAAGCTGCTTTGCAGGATGCAAACAGGTGGCTGCCAGAATATACGGAAGATTTGAATAGACGCAGAGAGGCGGCCCAAGCTGCACTAACAGCGTCAAAAGCAACCGGAAAAACTCCAAAAAAACAGGCAGTAAATGAGCGCGTCACGCGCGGTGCCAAGGAGAGAATTCCAGCCCAGGCATCCGGTGCAATACTGGATGAGCCCATATCGGAAACTCCAAGCGTGGCCGAGAGCCAGACAGAACCCCAGTCGTCCCAGTCGGACAATAATTTGATAGCGTTGGCGGCTGCGGATAAAGCAGACATATCCGAGGGATCAGAAACAAGAGTAAGCAAAAGCATTCGTGGTGGAACAATGACATTCCACCCGGCACAGCTAAAATTACATAGTTTTGTGTCAGAAAAAGATTTTGAGCAACCAGATGAGGACTTCCTTACTCAAGCTAGGGAAGTCGATGAGCAGTTGGCTGCGGCAGAAACTGACCAGGATGTGGGCTTGATAGTCCGGCAAACCATGCCCGTATTGATCCAAAGTCTCCGCACGCTCATCGCATCCACAAAAACAAAAGTAGATGAAATGGGTAATACTATGTCGTTAGACGCCCGCGTCGATGCAGAACGAAATGAAAAGCTGAAATTCCAAAACGATTTTAATGAAATGCGGATTAAATTCGATAATGAACAAACGGAAAATGATAGATTGGCTAACGAAATACGTATAGCAAACACTAATCTGCATGATTTAAGAGAAGCCAACAGAAATGCGGAGGCTGCGTTTAACGCAATGAAAGATGAGCGCGATACTTTAACAGACACGAATCGCAAATTGGAAAAACAGTTGGAAGATGCCCAGAGAGATCCTTCAAACGCGAAAGCTACGATTGATGGCCTCAGTGCGCAACCGGCACCGGATTTAACGAAACAAATAACTGATTTGAACCAGAAGCTGTCGAAAGCTCAGAAAGATTGTAATTCTGAGAAAGATGCGCATAAATTAACTAATAAAAATTTGACGGATGCGCAGAGCCTGGTCACGAAACTTACCAAAGACTTGGATGACGAAAAGAAGCGGGCTAAGGACGCTGAAGAGTCTCCCCAACGGGATCTCACGCATGCGAGAGTCCAGCTCAACAATAAGTCTTCGGTCGGCCCGATGCATATTCCCAAGGAAAAGGATGATACGTCCCAAAAGGAAATTGAGAGGTTGCAGGGTCTGTTGACTACAGAGCGAGAGAATGTTCAAAAGGCCCAAAAGGAATTAAAAGATTCGAAAAAGGATAAAAGATGTGATAATTGTGAGAATGCGATTCAAGCAAAAAATACAGCACAGGCTGACGCATATGAAAAGTCTGAAAGGTGTAATCGGCTGTATGAGGAAAATGCGCAATGCCGAAAGGAATGGCATGAAAAACAAGACCAACTTACAAAGATGGAAGTGGACCTAAAGCAAGCGTATGACGAACTTCGTCGGCTTCGAAATACAGATGTTGCTCTTGGCGGCGGTGAAGGATACTTTCAAAGGGAAGCACCGGTAGCGACAGGAGACGTATTACATCCTTCCGTGTTTACACCATTTAATCCCCAAAATTTCTCGTCATACGTGGATCAGCCTATAGCTACTGGTAGTAATCCGGCTGGCATATTACGCAGGCCTAGACAGGAATCACGAGTCGAATTCTCGGAGGCTCAGACCATGCTGCGTTCATCGTCAGAAAGTCAAATTCCAAGGGAAACGGCACCTGCCAAACAGAGGAAAAATGGCTCAACAGATTTACGCCAGCAAATTCTGAAAAGAACAGCTGACGAATCTAGTCGCCAGATGCGAGGAACAGAAAATAGAGACAGTTCTGATACAGAAAATGAACTGATGGATGATGCCCTTATGGAGGATGAACACCGTCGCCCCAGTAGCACGGCCAGCATGAGTCTATGTCCAGAAATCCTCAGCTGGAGGAATGGCTGAATAAACAGACCCAAATTTCGGATAGAACGACGCTTACACAAGAAAGCGTTGTTGAACTTCTAGCAAAATTTGTGGAAAAAGACAGCGATAAAACAGTAGGAGGCATGAAGCTCCTTGCCTTTGACGATGCTCATCCGGAAAAAATTCAAAGATGGCTCATGAATGTTGAACAATGCAGAGCCACGAATAATTGGAATGATGAAACAACATGTCGCAGAGTAATCGGTGCATTCACCGGTCCGTCTTTTCAATGGTTTGAAAAATTCTGGAAAGATAATAAAGGCAAATCGTGGCCTGATTTCTTCAAGCCGGCTATTGTTGAGCACTTTAACGGCTCTCTTTCTAAAGCCGACATTCGTAGGAAAATGAATAATCGCAAATTAGAATTCTATGAACCAGTTCGTGCTTACCTGGATAGTTTCCTCCCATGGTTTGAGGAACTAAAAACATCTGACGAAGAGCAGGTGGAAGCACTCCTTGATGGCGTACAGGAACATCGACCGGCATGGTTCCGCGAAATTTATAATGCGGCACCTAAAAATTATGCGGAGTTTGAAAAGAAACTGCAAGAGTGCGAAAAACTGTGGAAGCGCATGAATAAAGATAAAAAGGCTCCCGAGTCAACTCAGAGAAATGCTCCTGCTGAACCCAGAAGCGCCGGCATTAATAATAATAATAATTCGAATTATGAAAATCGAGGCGGCCGCGGTGGCTCGTCTCAGAGAGGAAATTATTATTCGAACCGGGGAGGCCGCGGAAATTATGGCAATAATCGTGGAGGATATTCCCGCTCGTACAAGGAAACGGTGATTCCTCAGCCGCAGAATTCGGTGACTCCCGTGCAGCCTGTCCTGAATGTCTCCCAGCCGCAATTTGTTCCAGTTCCGGTGTATTCACAGCCACCATTCGTTGAACAACACCCGGTACAATTTGCGCAGACTTTCCCACAGCCAATTTCTATGCAGGCTCCTATGCCTGTCCCAGTTCAAATGATGAATCCAATGATGCCGGTTATGCAGCCGCAGTTCCAACAACCGGTACAGAACTTTGATCCACAGTACCAACAGGGTGGCCCTGCGAATAACAACAATTATAATGGCGGTAATAATCGGGGAAATTACCGAAATAATAATAATAATTATCACGGACGCGGTGGTTTCAATAACAATAATAATAACCGCCAGCAAAATCAGAATCAAAATTATCGGCAAAATCAGCAGGCGGGTAGTCAGCCCCGTTTGATGAAAGAAACATTTGAAAGGATAAATGGCGAACAAATCGCGGAGTCGAGATTTGCTTCCGCTGTCATGGTCTTCATCCCGCTGCAGGTTGTACGAATCAGTTTGTACTTCCCCGACAGTATGAACCGTCTGCAGAATTACTGGCAAGGTACAACAACCCGCAG